CCTCGGCGGGGGCCGGTGGCGAACAAAGAGCCGGGGCCGGCGACGGGGATGCCGTCGGTGGGAGGCTCCGCCGGTCCCCCGGGAGCAGGGCCGGGCGCCCCGTGTCACCCGTGCCCGGTGCCGGTGGGGCGGGAGGGGGCTCGTCCCCGCGCTCCGGCCTCATGGGGCCGAGTCTCCTGCGGAGCCCCGTGCGGCGCTCGCCGGTGAAATTGGCATAAACGGGACCGTCCGCTGTATCTGAGGCGGGGGACAGCAGTCCCTGCCCTTCTATCCCGTTGCCCTGGCGGGGGCTGCCGGTTCTTGGGGCGGGCACGGCCCCGGGGAAGGGACAGCAGTGCACCGGCGGTTAGTGTGGGGCACCTTGCTGGCCTGGGTTGTGTTTTTACAGGAGTGAATGATAACAACAATCATATTACAGCCGGCTTTATGGGCTGTCTGTCAGTCTGCTTGTGGTACTGGAGAAACTGGCGTAAAAAAAACATCCTCCGACTGTAGCTGCTGCCAGACAATTCTATTCCCTGTTACATTTGAGCGGCACCGAATCTAGATGGCTGCTCCGTTGCATTCCGGTTGGAAAGCAGGTTCTTGGCTGTGGTGGGTGTTTTTATGCAGGGGGAGGGGGAGTTCTGCCATTGTTGGTGTGTGAGGCCATGAAATGCTGTGTGTGAAGGTAGGGGAGAGGGGAGCACGCTGCCAGAGCCTTGGGCGCTTCAGGGGGCAAGAACAACATCCAGGGGGATCTTTTCTCAACATCCAGGGGGATCTTTTCCCCCCGGGGTGGTGTCCCCAAGCCTTGCCGTGAGGGCAGGGCCGGCTGATGGCCACCGGGGCTGCGGGAGCCCCCAGGCAGTGGGAACGCTTCTGTCTCGCTGTCCCTTGGGGTGACCCAGGTGGTGATGATCCCCCTGCTCCTGTGGTGTGGGCTGGGGGCATGGCTGGGCTGGTGGGGCTGGCCATCCCAGTGCTGGCACCCCAAAACACTGGACTGGGGGCGATGGAGTGCTTTGATGGATTGGAGTGGGTGGCAAGCGTGATCCGGGAGGGAAGGGAACCCTGGGGGGAGCCACCCTGGCGAGTCCCGGGGAGGTGGCTGGGAACACAGCCCTGGAGCTGGCTGCTGCTGCCTTCTCTGTTGTGTGTGTACTTGGTGGTATCTTTTGTCCCTGCCTCCTTCCTCGACATACGCTGGGACTCGCACGGAATGTTAAAGAGGGCCGAAAGCACGGAGGAAGGCGCTGGAGGGGGGAGCGGAGCTGCAGGCGGGGCGGCTCGGCTGGACCCCCGGCTCCGGGCTGGAGGGGGTCTCGGGGAGCCAGGGTGGGTGCTGCCGTGGTGCTCACCTCCCCGGCCTGCTCCAGGGTGGGCACGGCGGGCTGGGTAAGGAGAGGTGGCCATCGCTCGCCTCCCCGGGTAAAGCCAAGCTGTTCCCAAAAGAAGCGGTTGGAAGAGCAAGCCTTTGGCCCCCCCACGGTGGTCCCACGTCACGGAGGCGGCGATGACTGCACTCACCCCCACCTGTGAGGAACAGCAAAACCTGTTCTTTGTTTCCTGTATCACTGTGGATGGTGATGGTGCTGGACCAGAGCAGCCATTGTCTGAAGACACGACAGGAGACCACGAGTGGAAATGGGGTGGAAAGAAGAGGAGAAAGGGGCCGGGTGAGGACGGGCACGGAGCAGCCCCCGGGTGGTGTTCCCGTACACCAGTGGCCCAAACGGCTGTCGGGGCAGAGGAGGGGAGTGTCCCGGGGCCGGCGGGGGTAAGTGAGCCCCGTGGCAGCCCGTCCCTGCGGTGCAGCAGGGCAGGTGTGTTTGCAGGGGGCTGCACGCCGGTCTGGCAGATAATGGCTTCCCGCCGGCACTGGCTCGGCCTCCGCTCCCCGCTTTGTTCTGAAAAGCAAAACCCATTTGCTGCTCCAGAGAGGCCGAATCACGCATCTGGGCCTATTTAGGCTGTTCCTTTCCTTTGTCCCTACCTCGGTTTGAAACATGGTTTGCAGTTCTGCGGTGCACTTTGTGTTTTGTGTCGGGCTGTGAGGAGGCCCGCCCGTCCAGCGCATTCCCTGCTTGGGAAGAGCCGTCGCTTCAATGTAAGCTGGGCTTGCTTAATGCCTTCCCAGAAACACAGCAATATCTCTTACAAATAAATAAGCATAGGCTTAACTTCTGCTTGCATGGTAGGTGTACGTGTCGGCAGGCCTACTTCTTGCCTTAAATCAAGCATATGCTGAAGTGTTTGCAGAGTTGGTGCCTCCATTAATCTCTGGAAATAGCTGTAACTCTCGGTGGGTCCCTTCGCTCTGGACATCTGTTCCTGTTGGTGGGAATGCTCTGGCAGGCGGTAGGCACTGGGTAACTGAGGGACTTACTGAGTCACCGATGACAAACCCACCGGTGCGTTCCGCCACTGACAAGCTGCATCTTCCTTCGAGTGGTGTGTTGGTAAATCTGCCTCTTTGTAAATATGAGCTATAAAAAAAGTGTACATTAATCTATTGGTTAAAATTAGCGGTAGATGGAGTTCACTTCCTGTGAGTTCCTCACTGTGAGGGTGGCTGTGGCACCGGGGCAGGTTGCCCAGGGAGGCGGTGGAGTCTCCATCCTTGGAGCTGTTCAGGAGCCATCTGGACGTGGTCCTGGGCAACCGGCTCTCGCTGGAGCAGGGGCTGGGCCAGATGACAGTCTGTCAGCCAGTCTGGGATGCTGTGAAAGAATATTTACATAGTTTACTGGAAGCTTCGGTGCAATCTTTAAATAGCAGTATATTTAAAAACTTATAGCTGAAAGCGTGTTGGGATGTGGAGCCCTCCTAAGGAAGCTGTGTGCCCGGTGCACACGTTGGTGTTTGACAGCTGTTCGTTAATTGCTCTGCTGTAACAGTGATGGGTCTTCAGCACTGGCCTGGGCAGGGGGACCGGGACCACCAGCCCAAGGGATGGAAGCAATTTCCTCCAGCGTTTAGGGCCTTCCTGAACCATTGAATGCATCAGGATGCTTGATTATTAGGAATTACTGGAGTAATCTCATAAACTTAATCCACTTCTTAGTAATTTTTTTTTTCCCTGCAAGAAGGCAGTCGTATGTCCCTTGGAGAAGCACATCTCGTTCATTTCAGTTTGGGTTTCCTGAGAGCCGTGGAATCAAATGCAGCCCAAACTAAAGAGAGGTTTCCATGAGTATTCCCTTCGCCTTTCTCAGTGTGCTTGGGTGGAAGAAAAATGGGCAGCAGCTTCTATCTC